TTCAGGGAGAGTGTTTCCTTGTCAAGTTAACAGTGATAGGCAGAAACTGAACAATTTATATCCGGTGGTGAAAGAGAGGGTGCTCCAGTTGCTGGGGGATCAGAATGACAGCGAGGAGGAGGGGGATGGTTTGGCCGGGTAAATACCTCCGCCCATTCATACACTCCTCAATGGATAACAGTAAATACGAGCTCCTACTGCTGGCTCTTCTTACCACAAGCTGTATTCAATGTTTTGTTCAAGTTAGTGAGTTAATATTTAACGTCACATCGGCAATATTTCAGCCATATCGAGACGAGAACCTTTTACATTGAAATGGAATATGTGTATATTATAAAACCTGTCATGGAAGGACAGTAACACAACTAGAATACCCTCCTGTACAAGATGTCAAATATGCTGCCTGTGAATTATCTGATGAGAATAGGTCATCATCTCCTCTCAAATGGTGTTTTGATAGGTCTTGGGGTTGTTTTAAGGGTTGAATGTCTTTATCCACTGTTGATATGAATGTAAATTAATATGTCTGTGAAATTATTTTTTAAAACTTTTTTTAGGGGACATCAATCATGTCAAGTGATTGTTTTCGTGTAAACTTTTTCTGATATTTTCTTGAACAGCCTTATATATTTTTATTTAATTCTCCTTAAAGGTGGAAAGCAGTACTTGTGTGTTTATAAATTTCATGCGTTCTGTATTTCTGATCATGTGTATTGGTCTCCTAATGCTTGACCGAGTTGACCGTACTCTCGTCTGCACATGCACCCTGTATATATACACATGATCAACTGAGTCTATTAGTTGAGTTGAGTTGAGCTTTACGTCACATCGGCATTTTTCCAGCCATATAGTGACGAGAACAAGTTTGCATTAGTAAATATTGTAAGTACATACTCGGAATGAGTTTTATTTCAAAGACATTTATTGATTACATTGTCATTCAAAAGCAGAAAAAGTCATAGCATCAAATATAAAGGCAGGCGGTTTGTTACATTTCATAGTTACAATTTATGGTTGTTACATTACACAGTTACAATTTATGATACAGATCAACTTCCCTCAGGTAGTTCAGTATCAGGTGGGCGCTCACGCGTGAGAACAGATCTTTTAGGTTTGTTGCATCATAATGTGAGTCCCTTGCAGGCGATAAGTCCACGCATTCAAGCAGAATATGCTTGACGGTGAACACCTCATCGCAAGAGACACACATGGGGGGTCCATCCCCATCCGTTTTCAGCAGATAGTCATGTGTAAATCGACTGTGGCCAATACAACATCGTCGTAAAATTACCTCATCGCGTCTTGTCACCGGGATGGAACTTGGTCTCATTGCATAATGGGTTCGGAGCAGTGGGGTAGCCTAGTGGTTAAGGCGTTCGCTCGTCATGCCGAAGACCCGGGTTTGATTCTCCACATAGGTACAATGTGTGAATCCCATTTCTGGTGTCCCCCACCGTGATATTGCTGGAATATTGCTAAAAGCGGCGTAAAACCAAACTCAGGCAGTCAGGCAGTCAGTCATTGCATTATGGGTCAGCAGTTCAGGGCGATGGGGTAGCCTAGTGGTAAAGGCATTCGCTTGTCATGCCGAAGACCCAGGTTTGATTCTCCCCATAGGTACAATTTCTGGTGTCCCCCACCGTGATATTGTTGGAATATAGCTATATGTGGCATAAAACCTCTCTCACTCACTCGTTCACTCGTTCACTCACTCACTCACTCACTCACTCACTCACTCACTCACTCACTCACTCACTCACTCACTCACTCACTCACTCACTCACTCACTCACTCACTCACTCACTCACTCACTCACTCACTCACTCACTCACTCACTCACTCACTCACTCACTCACTCACTCACTCACCCCTGATGTTGACATACCAGAGAAAGATGCACCAGTATTTATGGGTACATGTAGGTCAGCTCTCTATGTTAAATACCCTTCAGCAGTTTCAGTGTAGGTTTACGTACTATGTATCTATATATATCTCAGTATAGTCAGTATCGGAAATGGTACACCTGATAACACCGTTCATCAAAGCATGACTAGCCTGTCTCACAGTCCCCAAACGCCTCTTTTAGCAATATTCCAGCAATATCAGAGCGGGGAACACAAGAAATGGCAGGGCTCGATTTAAGAGATGTTAACCTACTTGCACCAGGTGCAACCTAAGATAAAGACCTAGTTGCACCTGCCAAATTCCAGTTGCAACGTAGTGTGTTAAAATGTTTCGGTGCACATAAACCTTAATCAGTAGTACCCATGAAACCATAGCAACACTGCGACACAGCTGAATCCTGTTTACAAGAGCTGTCATAGCCGAGACATGTTTATGAATAGCAATGTTTCATTGCCATAGCTATTCAAAGTTTAGAAGAAAAATGGGCTGGCATATTTATGCATATGTTAGATTTATTGTTGGTTTATTTCTCAACAGTTCACTTGCACCTTGTGCAAGATAGACTCATAGCTAGGTTGTATTTTGTAATATTGGGTTGCACCAGTGCAAGTAACAAAGCAATAAATCGAGCCCTGAATGGGCTTCACACATTGTGCCCATTTGGGGAATCGAACCTGGGTCTTCAGCGTGATGAGTGAACACTTTATCCACTAGGCTACCCCAACGCCCTGTCTAGATGGGAAGGAAGTGAACCCGTGTGTTTAAATATTGATACGTCCAGATCTAATTAGCACTCCCCAGTAATCCTCACCTTAAATATGATTAGAGAGCTGACGCTCTTCCTAAACAGCCATAAATTATTGACAGTGACAATAATTGTCTTGGAGTGTCAGGTATGATTGATGATTGGACAATCTTGTACATGCCTTGCACTGATGAGCAGTAGATTAAACACAGCTGCACATTGTGTGCACTTAGTGATGCTTCAGAATACCAGGGTTACCCTAGTAATTTTATTGTTACATTTTGTAGGTATATATTTATTTATTTTTTTAAAAAAACAAACCCTAATTATTTTTTTTATTTTGCAGGAATATAATTTCATCCTATTCAATTTATTGTTCACTGCATTTAGTAGATATATATTCTATGTATTTTCAGAGTTTCCCCAATAATTTATTGTTATATTTTGTAGATTTATATTTAAGTTTGTTTTTAGAAAACCAAGTTTCTCTAATAATAATTCTTCTTTTTTTTTTGTAGAAATATAATCTATTTTAAAAAAAAATTACAGCTACCTAATAATTCTTATTCTTATTTTGTAGATATAAATTTTGTAACTTGTCTTCACAATACTGTAGTTATCTTAATATGCTACTCATGTTGAGATTCAATCTGATCCTTAAATTCAGAAAACTGAGTTATTAAGGTTGGCTTTTAAACAAGTTCTGTTATGGACCAAAACTAACATAGCTTCAGGGTTTTAAATGTTTCATCTTGAACAATTATATGTTGTTATTTAATATGTTGATATTTAATGTAAAGTATTCATGAATACGTATTCATATTTGTTCCAGTATATTTGTATAACATGTCATATTCGCCTCGTAGTGTATTCACTGCGACCCAATGAGCCACTAACAGAACAGGCTGAAGGTGTGATGATCCAGCTAGCAGATGGTGGGCTGATGATGTTAGGAGTGCAGTGATCCTCTAATCCGGACAATCAGACCTCATTAGCTTGAAAATACATCAGAAATTTTATGTCTTTTGTGATCTGGAACTTAAGGAACATTTAATGATGTTATCGTTGCACTTCAGGAAATTTGATATGTGAAACAGATTGTTTATTAATCATTTCTAGGATATAGCCATTAGTGACCTAGCAGACTTCAAATGCATATTTCATTTTTTGTTATATTTGTTGAAATGGCCACAAATATCAAATTTCCATTCATGAGTTGGGTATGATAACACTGTTGTTTTTGATAATTGTGATAACTAAATTTGAATTTTGTTGCCAGATTGTTTCAGTAGTATTATACTATCATGCCGGTTTGGGGCGGTGGGGTAGCCTAGTGGTTAAACCGTTCACTTTTCACGCTGAAGACCCAAGTTTGATTCCCCACATTAGTACAATGTGTGAAGCCCATTTCTGGTGTCCCCCACTGTGATATTGCTGCGAAAAGTGGCATAAAACTACACTCACTCACAGGTCCAGCTTTTTACGCGACACAAATATGCGTCCAGTAGGCAATATTATACAGAATGGACTGGTTAAGATGTTAGGGAGTTGCATTTAAGGTGTTTCTATAAACATAGGGGGCGGTGGGGTAGCCTAATGGTTAAAGCGTTGGTAGTCACGCCGAAGACCCGGGTTCGAATCCCCACATGGGCACAATGTGTGAAGCCCATTTCTGGTGTCCCCTGCCGTGATGTTGCTGGAATATTGCTAAAAGCGGTGTAAATCCAACCTCAGTCAGTCAGTCTATAAACATAGATGATATAGCAATAATGATAAGTATGCTTATTTAATTAATTATCAAGACTTTGCTCGCATTGGTGCCATGCACAACCATGGTGGAAATCTAACTGTTTGATCTGATCAGTGTTGACATTCACAGCTGGTGTGAACATACATTACATCATAATTACCTTCAGTAATGACACAGACACTAATTAGGCCGATAGCTCTTGCTACTTGACCTCACTGTGGTGGTTATCTCAAGTCGGAGATCCTGTTGCACTCAGAGATGGGCCGAAAGGTCAGAATAACGTGATATTACTGATATTATTCACAGAAACGGAAACTCATAGGTCTATTATATCATCATTCTTGGCCTTTCGGAAACTGTCGAGTAATTGCTTTAATTTGGACAGGAAGGAAGAAATTGTGTGGTGAGCTGTTATCATGGTGGTATTTCAATATACCAGATGTGAGTGGTCATTGCAAATGAATATGCTGACTTGATTTATTTGATCATTTTCAGATCAAGCATCAGCTCAACTGAATCATTGTAGCCAATAGTTAGATAAACCAGTGGTTGATGTGATGAGCATGTCCAGTTTTTGATTGTATACAATCTTTTGATTAGGCCAGACCAATTTTATTTCTTGTTTTACGGATTTTTGTCCTCGGGAAAACCTTAAGGCAGGAGGGAACAAAATAAAAAATAAAAAATCACCAGTCAAAGTAATATTCTCTTTAAATGCTAAAAGTATTTATTTTTGGCAATTTATGAAATGTATATGGGGCAAAAAACAATAAACGGAATTTTTTGGTATGTTTTCATTTTTCTGGTGTCCGAAGCTGTGATATTGCTGGAATATTGCTTAGTGCCATAAAATAAACTCTCACTCATTCTGATCTGCACTGGCAAGAACAAAGCACACTGTGCCATATCTCCTTCCGTACCCTGTGCCATAGCCTGTCATACAGACCCTGAAACATATATGTCCAAGAAAGCCCATGCAAGTCTAGAATGTGTTTCCCCGCCGTGATATTGCTGGAATAGTGCTAAAAGCGGCGTAAAACTAAACTCAGTCAGTCAGTCAGTCTAGAATGTGTGGCAAATCTAGCTTGAAGAAAGTCTCTTGGCTCCTTTTTATTATATTTTATGATTATTTTTTTAGCAGTTGTTTCTGTAAGCTATGCTCATGTCAGAAACTAGATGTTAGTCTGTCTGTGCCATGATGGTGGAATTTACATAATATATTCAAATATTTGTTTCCGGCATCAAAAGTTTTGTTGCTGAGGCCTAAAAGAAAAATGTTGTGGTTCCAATTACCCGACCGAACCTTGAATTCTGGTGCCGACCCTACTTTTTTTAAACGGACTGAATAAAATAAGCTTTCAGATACCATTGTTTTTTCCCGGCACCGACATATCGGTCATTCCGATAGAGAAAGTTGACATGATGGCCGCAAACTTGATTGAATAAACAATTACACATTGATAGATTTGTTATTAGTTTGTACTTTCCTTCTAAAAAAAATATGTAAAAAAAAAATTCCTATCTACCAACCCAAAATATTAAAGAGTTGTAATCATAACCACAACATTTTTTTTTATTTTACCTGAACCAACACATAGAAGACATCAAAGAATTAGTCTGAACTTCGGTAGAAATATCATGCGTGAAAAGAATAAAAAAGATTTGGTCTTCCCCCCACCTGGAGTTGATGATTTTGTGAAATGTAATAACTAGTTGGTATCCATCAACACATGTGGTGTGTGTACAGGTTTAAGACTTGAGAAGTGCCCCTTCAGAAGCTCTGTGCGTTACATGATACTGCCTCAGTTGGGATGCAGGGATACCTTTCGGAGGGATGAGTCACAGGGATGACAGATTGGGGTGGGCAGAGAGGATGTACCAGCCAACCCAAGCTCAGTCTCTCATACACACAATGAAACACACATACTGCCCTTGCAAATGTACATGATGTGGGGAGTCTAGATTATAGACTAACAGCTAGTACATATAGCCCTTGCAAATGTACATGATGTGGCAAGTCTAGATTATAGACTAACAGCTAGTACATATAGCCCTTGCAAATGTACATGATGTGGCGAGTCTAGATTATAGACTAACAGCTAGTACATATAGCCCTTGCAAATGTACATGATGTGGCAAGTCTAGATTATAGACTAACAGCTAGTACATATAGCCCTTGCAAATGTACATGTGGCAAGTCTAGATCATAGACTAACAGCTAGTACATATAGCCCTTGCAAATGTACATGATGTGGCGAGTCTAGATTATAGACTAACAGCTAGTCTCTGAAATGAACTAATTTTACAGAAAAAAGGAAGTTTTTGGATTATTATATTAAAACACAATAAAAAGGAGCCCAGAGACTTTCTTCATTTTCAGAAACTGTGGTAATCTAGACTTACCACATATTCTAGACTTGCCACATAATCTAGACTTGCCACATATTCTAGACTTGCCATATAATCTAGACTTGCCATATAATCTAGACTTGCCACATATTCTAGACTTGCCACATATTCTAGACTTCAAAAGGAAGTTAGTTTTTAATGTGTCTACATTTCCTTAAACTTTACAGATCCATAATGCCGGTAGTAATCTTGGCCTAAATGCTTATTAAATGACTGCACGCTGTTTATAATGGTCTCTTGGCGTGATGATATTGTGATTTAATTTGTTTGTTGTGATCTACTTCACTGAGAAACACTAACATGCAATCAACCAAGTCCTCGAGTCTGACCATCCAGTCCATTCCATCAACTTGTACAGCCAGCAGAGATTGTTGAGGGTGGTGGGGTAGCTTAGTGGTTAAGGCCCTCGCTCATCAGGCTGAAGACCCGGGTTCGATTCCCCACATGGGCACAATGTGTGAAACCTATTTCTGGTGTCCCCCGCCGTGGCACTGCTGCTATATTGCTAAAAGATATTTAAAACCAAACTCACTCACTCACTCACTCACTCACTCACTCACTCACTCACTCACTCACTCACTCACTCACTCACTCACTCACTCACTCACTCACTCACTCACTCACTCACTCACTCACTCACTCACTCACTCACTCACTCTTCTGACCAGTGATCCAGCATTATACTTTCTTCAGGAATATTCTTCAGAATTAAGCAGTTCCGTTTGTGTTCTTTCAGGTCCTGTGCTCAGCGCTGAGTGTGGCACTTCTGTTCTGGAGGAGACTGACATGTTTGGTAAGTTGTTTAGTGGAAGTCTTTGTTCTTGTACACCATTATCTCGGATATCCTTTGTAGGCGTTCACTATTACCTAGGATATCCTTGGAGGCGTTCACCAAGATAGGTTTGGAGACCTGTTGACCAAACACATATCTGCCCCCGTCTTAAGGAATTACACTTTTACCCAAAATGATAAATTCCTTTGGAAAGTGTTCAAAACTATTGGTAAATCTACTTAACAATTCTGCTATTTCCTACACAATACTTGCAAGCCTCAGAGAGTGTTGACAGCTGGAAGGGCAAACCCAGTTGACATCAACATATATTGACAGATTATTACACTTGAAGCCAGGAGTTGGACACTTTGAACTGAAACTCTCTTTAAAAGCATGACTGTTCAATTGGCATATTATATACTGCTGTTAGTCTAATACTGTATTTTCTTCAGGAGAATTTACACTATGTTTCATGATTCAAGGAAAAGAATATTACTCTTTTGTGTTGCAGAGTTTTGCATTTTAAAAGCTTGGCTTAAAAATAAAAGGCAAACCCTTAAAACATGTAATTTAAATCACAAAAATGTGCAGCACAAAATATGTGCTGTATAATATTTATTATTCCAAAGAAGCCACGTATTTACCCATGGTGCTGAAGTTGCTGTACAAGCAATGGAGCTGAACCACATCCGAACCTGTCACCCCATCCAAAGTGCACTTCACGCTCTCAAATTTCAATTTCTGATGCTGAGTGTGTTTCTTTAATCTTTAAAGAAACCCAATTTTACTGCAATGTCTACTTGTGGTTCTGTAACCTGAACCAGCCAATCGGAAGGGGTCATGGTTGAGTAGTCTCCTAGTGAGAGTTTTTTAAAGGGCTAGCGGTTAAAAGTAACCCACATGGCCCCTGAACACTTCTATTGTGAGGGTTCTTTTCAGTGAGCTGTGTGTCTTGTTGAGGGTGCGGATGGGTGGACCGACATCAGAAATGCCAACCCTTACGCTTTGGACATTATTATTACGATTTTGACCATTAAATTACGCCGTTACCCCTAAACCTGCAAAAATTATGCTTTTCTACTTGTTTTACAAAATCAATAAAGTGGAAAAAATTTCACAGGGAAGTGTTTCGTAATGCACCGGTACAAGGGTTCAGAAATGGTCTTACTCTTAGCATCACGCTTATTCCAATTAACTTGTAAGGAATTAAAGTATTTTGTGTCACAGGACCAACAATTTTCTATGTATGGAGCTTCATTATGATTGGTCACATGTATTTCTGTCTAGAATATTTCCAATTCATGTGAATCAACCTTCTTACAAGTAATTTTTTTATTAAGTTATCACCTTTCACTAAGTAACTATTTTTTAAGCATTACACTTTTTAGGTCCAAATTACACTTTTTGACCTCCAGTATTACACTTTGGCCCAAAATAGGGTTGGCAGCTCTGTGACATGCGTTGAAGGATTAAAACTGTCTGTCATGAAATGTAAATTTGATTTAAGCTTTATCGTAAAAGCTTAGAGTAAAATTACCATGAAACCAGAATGCAAGCATTGAGTTAATTTATTGTGCTTTTAAAAGTTGGAAGTGACATTTGACCTCTTGGCTCCATTTAGTGTCTTAACAATGACATACGTGTTCTATTTAAAAGTGCCAGAAAATGAGTGCAATATGTCAAAATGTTACATTTATTAAGTTTATAGTTAATTTTGTGAGAATTTTGCAGTTTTTATGAATTTATTTAAATCTATGAAAGATAATTAATTAGTTGAGCAGAAACAAGTAAACAGGACTGTCATTCAAATTCTATTTGTTGATTTTTGCACAGTCTGCATGTAATTTGTAAAACTGCAGTGGAAGGAAAGTGTGGCCCTGTGTCCCCCCATCTAGACCCCCAGTGCACTGATTTCAGAGAGGGGGAACCAGGAGGAATTTATGCAAATTTTCAGCAGGTGCTACTGTTGTGTTGATGTAGCTGCTGTGATAAAAGTGACCTCCACCTGGGAACAGGTAGTTGGGGCAGACCTCGAGATTAATGAGGTCTGCAATGACATTTTTATACCCCCGTGTTAAGAACTCAACCCTCTGTTGACGGCTGCATTGAAATGCTGGAGGCATCTCGCAAGGAACCTTTGAGGAGGAGTGAACAGTTCTGTGACAAACAATACCCCAGTTGAACCGGGATGAATGGGAAGCTTTACAAATTGAATGATAATTATCGCTGTTTGGGCTGGTTTTAAGATGTGGTTTGAGTCGGTTCAGATTTTTCTCTGCTTGTTATGAATGAAGCAGGATGATTAGGGCTGAGCCCAAGGACATTTCTCGCCTGTTGAATGATAGGTCTTTTGAAGGTCTGACGAAGCTTTGTTGTGATGTTTCCATAGATGAACACCTTGCGGTGATGATGTGTCGTGTTTACGACAAAGGAAAATATTACATTCTTATTGGGTCTTAATTCTGATTTAAATCTAGCTGATTGTTTCGTTTGGGGACTAAGGAAACGGCTATGTTTGTTGGGCTGTCAAAAGGATGTTTTCTTACTGGGGGATTCTGTGGCCAGAGAAAACAGGGCTGACAAATAGCGGGGCTTGTAAACAACAGTCTGAGCTCAATTCGATTAAATGTCAGATAAAGTTGTTGTGGTTGATTGTGGACTATGTACAACCACCAGGGGGGACTTTTCAATGGGGATTTAACACAGCTTACCTCTGGGAAGCAGAGTGTTTGGGATTTAAATCACTATTGCCTAATATCCTCAAACTAAACCCGTTAGTTGTGTTAGGCCATGCTTAATTTTATGTGTTTCTTATCTCTAACCAAAACCAGAAATAGAGGTGAAAAAATAAAGTTTTTCACTAATTTTGGTACTTGGTGATAGTTGGTTAATTAATTCATGGTGTACAATGAGTCTCTCTGCTTCCGAATCATCCCTTCCACCCACAGGTCGCGGGTTCGATCCCCGACCGCGTCATACCAAAAGACGTTAAAATATGGTACTTGTTGATCCCTGCCTGGCGCTTGGCATTAATGGGTACAACAAGGACTGGTCGGCTCGGAGTCAGTATAATGTGTCTGAGTGGGGTATTCATGCTTCACTGCAGCGTGGTAAACCAACATAAGTCTGGGCTAGTACAAGCAGCCGCGTATACACATACACACGCATGCATGTCGTCATATGAGCGAAATATTCTCAAGCACGACTTTAAAACCCAATTTCACCTCACCTCACCCTTCCGTCCACCCATCCCTGCAATGCTAAAGCCCTAAATGAAGCAAGTCTAGATTTCCCTAAACTAACGCTTAGTCTCTGAATATGCAGTATATAATCTTGATAGTAACAAATAAACCCATTTAAATTGAAAAGGAGCTAGAGTGAGTTGGGAGACCCCAGGGGAAATCTGGACTTGCTTCATTAAGGGCTTTAGCATTGCAGCATAGGCAGATCCAGAGGGGGTGTGTGCACCCCTCTTTTGTCCTGAAAGTTTATTAAATTACCAATTTAACTCTCATGAAAATGAAGTGTGCACCCTCCCTTTCTCAATAGTGTGCACCCCCTTTCTCAAAAAGCTGTACCTGCCCCTGTACAGGGAGGGCTTGGCATTAGGGAAAATAATGTGATGTGAGGTGAGGTGAAATTGGGTTTTTACGTCGTGCTTGAGAATATTTCGCTCATATGACGACGTGCATGCGTGTGTATGTGTATGTGCGGCTGCTTGTACTAGCCCAGACTGAAGCTGGTTTTATAGTGCTAGCCCACTGAGATACCATGCCACAGTGAAGCATGAATACCCCACTCAGACACATTATACTGACCAGAGCCGACCAGTCCTTGTTATACCCATTAATGCCGGGCGCCAGGCAGAGAACAACAAGTACCATATTTTAACGTCTTTTGGTATGATGCAGTCGGGCATCGAACCCGCGACCTTCCGCTCTCCGGGCGGACACTCTAACCACTACACCACAGAGGCGGTCCGGAAAATAATGTGGTTCAGGGACTGTGGGACAGACTAAGATTTCCTTCTGTCCCAACTCACTGGGTCTCCTTTTCAATTTCAAAGAGTTTATTTGTTACTATCAATATTGTATATTCAGGGACTAAGCCTTAGTCTATTGTGTAGGCTGAAGGGTTAGTAATTAACTTGGTCACTTCATCACTCGAAGGTTAGTCCAGATTTATGAATCATGGAGACCCCATAGATAAGATAAGATAAAATATTTATTGCATAGCATTCCATGAAGAAACAGTGGCAATATTCTATAAGCTACAAATATTTACACAGAAGGTACAAGAAATATAGATACATTTCACACAAAAATGATGTACATTATAACAATTTTTAGAAATCATGTGGTATAATGACATGGGAATAATATATCAGGAGACTATGGTAAGATATAGAATTCATTTAAAGTTGTAAAGATGGTGACATATTTTGGAAATTAATTCAGGACTTCTGTTCTTGAAAATTATTAGGAATTGTTCTTTTTTTTTGAGAGTGTAGTAAATTCTTGGTCATAATAAAGCATTGTGTGTATAAGTGATTCCCTTTCTTCGCTATACTTGGTACATATATATTGGGGCCTGAGATTTCCTTTAAACAGAAAATATTATTGCTTGCTGCTTTGAAATTAAATATTCTGTTAAACTTTCAAGTGTCAAAGCTATGGTGGTCTTGAAGTTAAAGTTTGGTAACATTGTCCTTTTATTCATTTAATGTTCGTCTGTGTCAAATTTAAGATTATTACACAGCTCCCTTCTAACTTTGACACAACGGGGGATCGCTCCTGTCTACTCTGTGTCAAAGTTAATCCTATTCTTTTGAAGAGATTGCTTATTCAGGGATAGAAATAAAAAAAATTCTAAGTGTGCCTTAGGGCACCAGACAAATATTTTAGGTGTGCCTTTCAGAAATTGAGTGTGCCCACATGTTTTTAGAATAAATGACAATGATGATGATCATTTGAATTTTATTGTTAAATAAAGAATGGGTTTATGAGCATTCAGATATGTAT